TAAAAGTAATCCAAGAAGTCATAATCATCTAGTTTTTCAAAAATATCTGTAATCTGATGACAGTATTTTACATGTAATCAGTTACTACCAGCCCCAACCCTGTCTAGAGGGGAACCAAACCTCCACAGAAATATGGGTCCTAGGAGAGATAGCTTACTCCATAGCTAAACTCCTACTCCAGTACACGGGATCCAGAAGACTACTCCATAGCTAAACTCCTACTCCAGTACCCTAAACTCATACTCCAGTACACGGGATCCAGAAGACTACTCCATAGCTAAACTCCTACTCCAGTACACTGGATCCAGAAGACTACTCCATAGCTAAACTCCTACTCCAGTACACTGGATCCAGAAGACTACTCCATAGCTAAACTCCTACTCCAGTACACGGGATCCAGAAGACTACTCCATAGCTAAACTCCTACTCCAGTACACTGGATCCAGAAGACTACTCCATAGCTAAACTCCTACTCCAGTACACTGGATCCAGAAGACTACTCCATAGCTAAACTCCTACTCCAGTACACTGGATCCAGAAGACTACTCCATAGCTAAACTCCTACTCCAGTACACTGGATCCAGAAGACTACTCCATCGCTAAACTCCTACTCCAGTACACGGGATCCAGAAGACTACTCCATAGCTAAACTCCTACTCCAGTACACGGGATCCAGAAGACTACTCCATAGCTAAACTCCTACTCCAGTACACGGGATCCAGAAGACTACTCCATAGCTAAACTCCTACTCCAGTACACTGGATCCAGAAGACTAGTTAGGATGAATGTGTGGTTCTAAAGTGAAGCTCTAGGGTTCTTATAAGTCCTACTGGGACTGGACTTGATTTATTCCTTTCAGCTCCAAGTGGAGCAGAGGTCCTCAACATTGTTAGTCTCCAGTTATCCCCTAGGGTCCTACAGGGAAGCTCCACAGAAATATGCAGCCTGGGAATGGGAGCTCACTCCATCTAAACAGCCATGATCCAGTTCACAGACTCTTAAGAGTTAGGACTCATTGCCGAGTTAGGATGGATGGTACATTCTGTTCAGAAAAGGAAAAATCCTGAGTTTAGATATGAGTGAGGTATCTAAACATCCAGAGCAGAATACAGTCCCCAGGCTTCAGAAGACCACTGGCTTGGGATGGATATGTCATTCTGTGCAGCAAACAGAAGAGCCTTAGATTCAATCCGGTAGGTACTCCGCTCCATTTCTAAACATCCGTTCCAGTTCACAGAATCCAGAACAGTAAGGATTGATTGCTGAGTCAGGATGGGTTGCAGGATGCTTGCATTCTGTGCAACGAAGCGAAGAGCCTGCGTTTTGATCCCTGAGGTCCTTTGCTCCTGACCAATCCGATGCCTCTTTCTCTGCTGTTGACCAATCAGATGCCTCTTTCTCTGCTGCTGACCAATCCGATGCCTCTTTCTCTGCTGCTGACCAATCCGATGCCTCTTTCTCTGCTGCTGACCAATCCGATGCCTCTTTCTCTGCTGCTGACAAATCCGATGCCTCTTTCTCATGGGTCTCTAGAAGGTGAATGAAACCGGTGCTCCAGATGCCATTCCAGCAGTGTCACTAGTAACGACCTCACACACCACCCCTCCTCCCTGCACACACACAAACAGTAAACCACCCTTCCACCCCTCCTCCCTGCACACACACCACCCCTCCCTGCACACACACCACCCCTCCTCCCTGCACACACACCACCCCTCCTCCCTGCACACGCACAAACAGTAAACCACCCTTTCACCCCTCCTCCCTGCACACACACCACCCCTCCTCCCTGCACACACACAAACAGTAAACCACCCTTCCACCCCTCCTCCCTGCACACACACCACCCCTCCCTGCACACACACCCCCCTCCTCCCTGCACACACACCACCCTCCTCCTGCACACGCACAAACAGTAAACCACCCTTTCACCCCTCCTCCCTGCACACACACCACCCTCCTCCCTGCACACACACAAACAGTAAACACCCTTTCACCCCTCCTCCCTGCACACACACCACCCCTCCTCCCTGCACACACACAACAGTAAACCCCTTTCACCCCTCCTCCCTGCACACGCACAAACAGTAAACCACCCTTTCACCCCTCCTCCCTGCACACACACAAACAGTAAACCACCCTTTCACCCCTCCTCCCTGCACACACACAAACAGTAAACCACCCTTTCACCCCTCCTCCTTGCACACACACAAACAGTAAACCACCCTTTCACCCCTCCTCCCTGCACATGCAAACACACACACAAACACCCGCCCTAATCCCCATGACCAACAAGCGGTCACTTCCACTAGCATTATACATCAGAGTTCAGGAAGTAAAGCTCACACACACACACACACACACTCTCTCTCTCTCCATCTTTCTCACACACACACACACACAATCACCCGCCCTAATCCCCATGACCAACAAGCGGTCACTTCCACTAGCATGTCCCCAGTCACCCATATTTTATACATCAGAGTTCAGGAAGCAAAGCTCACACACACACACACACACACACACACACACACACACACACACACGCACACACTCTCTCTCTCCATCTTTCTCACACACACACACAACCCATCTCATCACACACACGGACGCACATACACACTGTAAGATGTTGTGCAGGTTGATATATGTGTGAGTGAGGTTACGGTAACATGAACATACAATTTTACATTAAAAAAAAAATACTATTAAAAAAGCTCTCTAAATAATCGTATCTAGATAGGCTTAATAACACAGTAATAACACATTTGAAATAAACAGAGCACAGACAGATGTGATGCGTTCTGTACAGGAGGCAATGCCCCCACCAACTGGTCACTAGTTCATATACTGCATCCTTTTCAGTAACACTTCCTATGAATATTCTCTTCAGAATGCATTATAAGCACACGTATCCTATGTCAGGCGCTAATAACAGCTCATAAACATTTATAACTACATTCGTAAAGCATTAAGACCGACCAGGCTTTAGGTCTGGAGGCTAGGTAACACGCATAACAATACTAAAGTGCAGAAAGCTCTTATTTTACATCAGACGTATTTTTTTTTATTTCCTCCTGTCCACATCAAAAAAAACATCCGACTTGTTTCCCCATTAATACATGAAAGAGGTCTGTGGTCTGTCTATAGCACAGCTTGGAGAGTTGAGGCATTCTGTGCGTGCGATTTGCAGCGTGAGGTATACATGACTGTTAGCCAGGTTAAACCAGACGGAATGTTTCTGTAAAAGTGAAAGTGGTGAGCTGAAACACTGGACACAGCATTCGGTACAGTTTTACCAGGCTATGATTGTGGGCCCCGTGATTGTACGTACACAATTACTATATTAAATAAGATCCCTGACCAATGACTGGTCTGAAAGATAAGACGGGCAGCATAGCCCATCCCCTGAGTTTTATGGTTCTGCCCAGTGGGTCACAAGTACTCCAAGGTCGTGTTCCTTAGGCACCAAACAAGACTACCTGGTCTCGTCCAATAAGAAACTGACAATTTAGTTTTCCGTTTCAAAGCATTTTGCCCTAATGAACACAACCCAGCTCCCATGACGCAGACATCATCATGAGGTAGACGTCGAAGAGACTCGTTTCAGTGTCACACTATATGAATGCTGAATGTTTTTCCTGAGGAGTATTCTAAAGACACATTCTGTGGGTGTTTGGTATGATAATGTTAGTGTGGTCTGTGGGGAGTCCTCCCTGGTCCATAAGGAGTCCCGGAGAAAGTCACTTCCCGAAATGGAAAGCCATTAAAGGGCAAGTTCCGTATTTTACAAACTAACGTTAGATGGTTCCTCATCCTGAAAGTACAGTTTCTCCAGGGCCATAGACGACTTTCAGGGCCATAGACGACTTTCAGGGTGAGGAACCACGTAACATCAAGTTGTAAAATACTGAACTACCCCTTTAAAATGAGGTAAGAAGTATATAGATTCCTGTTTTACAAAACATCTTGCCTCTCTGAGCTGTTACCAAAAAGTATCCTTGGATGTTTGTAGTTTGACTTTAGCTAAAAGTAAGAGAACATGAGAACTGGGTTCATCTGTTTTACCTCACCCTGTTAACAAGTTGGGGGGGGGGGGGGGGGGGGGACTTGCTCTTTTAGGCTGGTCTCAAATATGTAAAACCACCCAACAGGCCCCAAGGCAAGTTAAAATGAATGCACCGGTTGAAAGCCCTTATTGGCATCCATATTGTCCGGTTGATGGTTATAACATATTTTGTAAACAGAAGTGATGGTGGCTACCATATAATGTTCGAACCATCAATGAGGTAGAGACAAACAATCGGCTCCAGAGTATAGCCAATCACCATACAGTAGTTCCATTTTTAAACCTGATCAGAAAAGTAACTCAATTCCAATCTTCAGCCCTCCTCAACTTAAATACATGAGTCTGTTCACAAGCAGTTTGTGTACGTGGCACTAAGGGAAACGGTTATTCACTAGTACTGTAGCATTCACAGCCAATGAATTGACATATACAAAGAAAACAGCAAATATTAGTATCACATGAAAATAAATGATCATCAACAAATAAAAACATTGGGGAAAAAAAAAACATCTATTAATAAAACATACCAAAATAAAAAACTATTCATGTTGCTTCTTCACCTGGCTGTAAGATTAGATTTTTCCCAAAATGCATTGTTTGTATACAAGCAAATGTGTGTTCAGTGGAGGACCATAGATAAAGTAATAGTTTATATAATATTTAACCAGAGACAACAGTTGGTTGTACATTCAATACCTTGACATGTACATTTGTTTTTAAGGTAAATTCCTATAATTTTACATTGGTCATCTCCCAGAGTGACTTTTTCAAATTCTACCCCTATTTGTCGTCAATAACACAGATTATATTAAGTTTGACTAGAGAAGAGGTCATTTGATTGGTACACCAGTTTGTCCTCAACACAGGACAATAGAATAACATTAGTATACTGGAGAGAGACTGGCGGGGGTTCAGTGGTGGAGCACTCTGCTCAGTTGGGCCCCTTGGAGGAAGAGGAGGACGTGGAGGAAGGGCTTTGAGAGGAGGAAAGGACACCACAACCACTCTGTCCAGTAGGAGGCATGGTCTCAGACGTCACAGAGGGTGCACCAGGAGTGTTCTGGGCAAACAGCATTCCTACAGGGGGAGACAAGAACACATTTGGTAAGTCGGTAGTGGAGTAATGGGCTAGGAGTAAAGTGCTAGGAATCGTTTCTGGACCGGTCTAAAATGGCTCAAGAATAAAAAAAGAATATTGCAGCATCATTTACTAACCTGAGTATTGAGTTCCATTGACCTCCACAGACACACTGATGCTGGCAGCCCCGTTACTGGAGATACTGAGAGACAGGTCCTGCTTACCGGTACTCTCTGAGGTGGGACAAAGAGGAATGACACAGTCAGAGTTCATGTTTAGAATTAACTGATGTGGGTAAACGTGTTTGGCTTGACAATGAATGCAATGGAGTTGGAAAGAGCACAAACAGATCTGAGATCAGGTTAGATCTGACTATGTAAGTGGTACAATATGACAATAATTGGTAGCCAAAAACACCCAGCCCAGTACTGACCGTGTCCGTTGTTGTTGATGAGTTTGAGCTGCTTCATGCCGGGGTTGAAGTGAGAGGCCATAGCCAGCAGGTTCTGTTGGAAGGCCTGTTGCATCAGTCTCTGCTGTTCCTCCATGGTCAAGCGGGCCATCTTCCTGTCTGGGCCCTCTCCTCCTCCTCCTCCTCCTCCTCTCTCCAGTTTCTCTCGGAGGTGCTCCAGGTTGGCGACCTGGGCTAGCTGTTGCCCCAGGGAGAGAGCATGGGTCATGGGTAGGCGGCTTGGCGGCATGGGGGTCGACATCTCCTCTGAGAGGGAACAGAGTGGAAGAGGAGAACAGAGGGGGAATATTTTTATTTTTTTACAGATTAGTGTGTCACTCTTCAAATATTCAACATGTATCAATGTTTTCAAAACAAGGCCATTAGATTAGATTTTTTTAAAAACACGGTCAGTCATTTGTTCACTTATCAGGTGCATGTTATTTGGATGGCGAGTGATCAGGTCTGAATTAATCTGACAGTAGAGGGCGCCATAATAGCACGTTTACTTTTTATAAATGTGGTGTCAAAACTACGTAGCCCATCACAAGGTCGTCACATGTTGGTGACAGCAGCGGTCACAGTTAGGTGAAACAACAGATGATTTCCTAACTACATAACAAAAACATTTATGTGTAAAAAAATAAAAAACGCAAGAGCACCTGCGGATCTCTTCAGAGATGGGCTGGGGGAGGTGTGCAGGTCGTTGTGACCGGCTGAGGAGTAGAGAGGCATCTTGGGGGGAGAGAGGAGGGAGTGGTGTGGGTGGCCAGGGGCGGTGGAGGGGGAGAAGTGGTACAGGTTGTTGCTGTAGCTGGGTCTTCGGCCTTCCCTCCGGTTACCGTCTATAGCAGCCTGGAGCTTGCCTGGAGAGCTCAGCCCCTTCTTCTCACACTCGTATGGGTACAGGTACTTCATATACCTGGGTGGACATAGGATGAGGCAGTGGTTGGATTTTTGTATTTTTTTTGTATTTAGAAGTACTTTCCCCATCATGAGGTGATTGGCCTAGCTAGGTCCTGAGCAGCTTCACGGACCTCTAAATTAGCTTTTCACACTTCTCATTTAATTGAAGATGAGCACACCTACGCCGCAAATTAGCTAAATCTTGCTCAGGCCAATCCTTTTGAACACAAAGACCATTTACTGATTACCTCCCCGTTTAACTAAATTTTCAGAGCATTTCCTTCCGTTTGATGCCTAATGCCCAAGTGTAGTAGACTCACTGGGTGCGGAGGGTGAAGGCTGCGGAGGTGATGGAGGTGGGCAGGTTGAGTCCTCTAGTGATCTCTCTCCAGTTCTTCTTGTTAATGACCTCCACCAGCCCACCCTTCTCAGTCACCAGTTTGTAGAGCATGTACAGGTCCAGCACCTGCTTAGCCATGATGGGTATGCGGTTGACCGGGGTGCCTGGAGAGAAGGGTAAAAACAGGTAGAAGAGTTGAAACTAGATGTATTAAATAGGAGTTACGATTTTTTGCCCTAAAATTACTAATTCCGTGATATACAAGCAACCTCCAATAGATGGCCCAGTAGCCTGGTCTGTATTTGGGCCTACAGTCAGATTCAGAATGCGCTCAGTCATCATAGCCACTTCATTGCTTGACGACTTTTGACGTGAAAAATGAGTGCTGCGAAAATGAGAAAAGTGGACTCAATGTCGTGTGTTTAAAGAAAGAATGGACAGAAAAATAAATGTTTAACAAATATTGGACAAAAGGCGGTATATGTCTGACATGCCAAGAAAGCGTTGCCGTTTTTAAGGAATATAATCTCAATCGTCATTTTTCAAGCAAGCATGCTAAAACTGGAAAATGTTGTCAAAGTGGTTGTAAAACTTGTCAACTTCATACGGGCAAGGGGGCTTAACCATCGTCAATTCATTCAGCTTGTCAATGACACAGAGGCAGAGCACCAGGACTTGTTGTACCATTCAAATGTGCGATGGCTACGCCTGGGAAAGGTATTTCTCCGTGTGGGAACTGAAAGGGGAGATAGGTATGTTCCTTGATATGGTTGGTAAAGCTGACGACTTCTCAGAGTTGAAAGACACAGACTGTCTGGGCGACTTTGCTTTCGGTGTGGACATATTGGGGCATCTGAACGATCTAAATGTGAAACTGCAGGGAAATTGTGTTTTTGTGCATGAACTGTATTCCAACGTGAAAGCATTCAAGGCCAAACTTTATGTTGTTCTCCAGACAAATGAGCAGCCGGTCTCTCTCGCACTGAACGCGTCCACATCGCAGAGCCGCACTGAACGCCGCACTGAGACGTACAGTAGCACTTTGATCGACCTGCATGCTGAGTTTACCCGCCGCTTCTCAGACTTCACCCAAGATTGAGACTGAGCTAGAGCTTGTATGATGCCCTCTGTCTTTCGACAGTGAGAAAGCACCACCAAGACACACAGTTGGAGCTCATCAACATCCAACGTTACAGTGCTTTGAAGGAGAAGTACAAAACAGCAACAATAGACCAGTTCTACGGCTCACTGAATGAAACAAACGTTTCCAAACATTAAAAAGCACCCACAAAGGCTGCTTGTTTTATTCGGGTCCACATATGTGAGAACAGACGTTCTCAGTTATGAATTACAACAAATCCCGTCACAGGTCAAATTGAACAAATGACCACTTGTCAGCTGTTCTGAGAATCTCTACATCAAAGATGACACCAGACTTTGATGCCCTTGCCAAGAGAGGTGACCAGACCGATTGTTCACATTAAAAAGACTTGAATAACCGTGACTGGGGTAGGCAAGGATTATGCTTTTTCATGGTGATGGTTTTGCAGAGAGAATTATCCAGCAATGCACTTGGATACAGGTAATAACTAAAATCAGTCAGATTTGGGCTGAGCTGATTGGATAACTGTAAATATGCCTCACAATGGAGATGAGAATTGTTCCTTAATATGCTTTCAAAAACAGACCGTTCCAAATGAAACGGATGAATAAATGCTGTTTCATTTTGCATGTCTCCAGTCATATATCTATTTTTAAGTTTGCATATTGTGACTAAGTTTGATTGTACTTTACAAGGGTAGAGATGCAGGATCTGTGTGTATGACTGAGTCTGTGATCTTATCAATTATATCAATTTTGTTTAAAAAAACAAACAAAAAAAACAAGGGTATTTGTATTTATTAGGGATCCAAGATGGTGGCAGATATCATGATGGGGATACGGTTGACCTGGAGATGCCCAGTTTCATTTGCTCTACATGCGTCTACAGATCCAAGATGGAAGGAGTCACTCAATGCCTATGGGGCCAAGATTTAGGCAGCAGGATTTGATTTAAAATGAGGTCAGACTTCCTAACGCTGAACATAAATACCATTCTGACAGTTCATTGTTTCCAAAACGCGGTAGGTTGTACAGTAAAGTCTGTTTTATCTAGCTCCAGTAATACGTCAGGTTCATAACACCTATTTAACCCAGTGTTGAAGACTAAAAGACCACTGAATGTATTGGAATAAAGTCTGCTAATCCTATCGAAGGCATCAAAACTCCTAAAGTCATCCAATTGTTATAATACATTTGAAGCACCTACCCGCATGTGGTAAACTAATTCAGCAACGCTTCGCGCTGCTTTGAAACAATCAATGTCCATTTTTTTTCTCCACTGAATCTCTGTTTGGATATTGGTTTGGCTACAATTACATTTACATTTTAGTCATTTAGCAGACGCTCTTATCCAGAGCGACTTACATCAGCAATTAGGGTTAAGTGCCTTGCTTAAGGGCACAGACAGATTTTTCACCTAGTCGGCTCGGGGATTAGAACCAGCGACCTTTCGGTTACTGGCACAACGCTCTTACCCACTAAGCTACCTGCCGCCCATATAGTAGGGCTCATTCTGTTCTTCTGAAATAAATGTTCTTCATATAATGTTTTAGACCTCCCTAAAATAAATAATGGATTTATTGTGATGGTGTATATTAAATTGATTTATTCAACTTTTTTTTTTTTTTAATGTAGATGTTCCAAAAAGCGCGGATCAGCGGTTTGTATGCGTGGAGGCCTGGAGATAAAGTGTTTATGTTAATTAACGGTCAATTACTGTGAAACCGGCAGTTTTTTGTATGACAATAACCGGCTGACAAAATGTAAGGACCGCCACATACTGACTGGTTCTGATCCACACCCCTACCATTATTTCAAGGTATATACAAAAGTATGTGGACACCTTCAAATTAGTGGATTCGGCTATTTCAGCCACATCAAATGTAGCACACAGCCATGCGATCTCCATAGACAAACATTGGCAGTAGAATGGCCTTACTGAAGAGCTCAGTGACTTAACGCAGCACCGTCATAGGATGCCACCTTTCCAACAAGTCAGTTTGTCAAAATTCCTGCCCTGCTAGAACTGCCCCGGTCAACTTTAAGTGCTGTTATTGTGAAGTGGAAACATCTAGGAGCAACAACGGCTCAGCACACAAGCCTGAGATCACCATGCGCAACGCCAAGCGTCGGCTGGAGTGATGTGTAAAGCTCGCCGCCATTGGACTCTGGAGCAGTGGAAATGCGTTCTCTGGAGTGATGAATCACGCTTCACCATCTGGCAGTCCGACGGACGAATCTGGGTTTGGCGGATGCCAGGAGAACGCTACCTGCCCGAATGCATAGTGCCAACTGTAAAGTTTGGTGGAGGAGGAATAATGGTCTGGGGCTGTTTTTCATGGTTCAGGCTAGGCCCCTTAGTTCCAGTGAAGGGACATCTTAACACTACAGCATACAATTACATTCTAGACCATTCTGTGCTCCCAACTTTGTGGAAACAGTTTGGGGAAGGCCCTTTCCTGTTTCAGCATGACAATTCTCCCGTGCACAAAGCGAGGTCCATACAGAAATGGTTTGTCGAGATCGGTGTGGAAGACTGGCCTGCACAGAGCCCTGACTTCAACCCCATCGAACACCTTTGGGATGAATTGGAACGCTGACTGCGAGCCAGGCCTAATCGTACAACATAATGTTCTTGTGGCTGAATGGAAGCAAACCCCCGTAGCAATGTTCCAACATCTAGTGGAAAGCCTTCCCAAAAGAGTGGAGGCTGTTATAGCAGCAAAGGGGGGGACCAACTCCATATTAACGCCCATGACTTTGGAATGAGATGTTCGACGAGCAGGTGTCCACATATACTACATGACCTCATCTATCACTGATCAGAAACATTTAGCATGCTATAATGTAGCCTAAATCAAGTGTAGGCCTATTATTTTGCTCGGTCGCATATATAGGCAACTCCAAAAGCCCTCGGCGGTTGTGAAATCACATTACTTAAAGTATTTCACACCCCTGGGTCAATAAGGTTAGAATCACCTTTGGCGGCGATTACAGCTGTGAGTCTTTCTGGGTAAGTCTCTAAGAGCTTTGCACACATGGTTTGTACTATGTTTGCACATTATTATTATTATTATTATTATTGTCTGAATTATTCAGGCTCTGTCAAATTGGTTGTTGCTTATGACAAGCATACCCATAACATGATGCAGCCACCACAATGCTTGAAAATATGAAGGTGTGAAGGCACTGTAGGTAGCCTACACTGTATCGGTGAGCTGTTGGCTAGAGATCACGTGCCAATACCAGAGTGGGCACATTTGGGCGACAGGTAGCTTAGTGGTTAAGAGAGCAGGTAGCTTAGTGGTTAAGAGAGCAGGTAGCTTAGTGGTTAAGAGAGCAGGTAGCTTAGTGGTTAAGAGAGCAGGTAGCTTAGTGGTTAAGAGAGCAGGTAGCTTAGTGGTTAAGAGAGCAGGTAGCTTGGTGGTTAAGAGAGCAGGTAGCTTAGTGGTTAAGAGAGCAGGTAGCTTAGTGGTTAAGAGAGCAGGTAGCTTAGTGGTTAAGAGAGCAGGTAGCTTAGTGGTTAAGAGAGCAGGTAGCTTAGTGGTTAAGAGAGCAGGTAGCTTAGTGGTTAAGAGAGCAGGTAGCTTAGTGGTTAAGAGAGCAGGTAGCTTAGTGGTTAAGAGAGCAGGTAGCTTAGTGGTTAAGAGAGCAGGTAGCTTGGTGGTTAAGAGAGCAGGTAGCTTAGTGGTTAAGAGAGCAGGTAGCTTAGTGGTTAAGAGAGCAGGTAGCTTAGTGGTTAAGAGAGCAGGTAGCTTAGTGGTTAAGAGAGCAGGTAGCTTAGTGGTTAAGAGAGCAGGTAGCTTGGTGGTTAAGAGAGCAGGTAGCTTAGTGGTTAAGAGAGCAGGTAGCTTAGTGGTTAAGAGAGCAGGTAGCTTAGTGGTTAAGAGAGCAGGTAGCTTAGTGGTTAAGAGAGCAGGCAGCTTAGTGGTTAAGAGAGCAGGTAGCTTAGTGGTTAAGAGAGCAGGTAGCTTAGTGGTTAAGAGAGCAGGTAGCTTAGTGGTTAAGAGAGCAGGTAGCTTAGTGGTTAAGAGCGTTGTGGCAGTAACCGAAAGGTCGCTGGTTCTAATCCCTGAGCCGACTAGGTGGAAAAATCTGCCGATGTGCCCTTGAGCAAGGCACTTAAACCCTAATTGCTCCTGTAAGTCACTCTGGATAAGAGCGTCTGCTAAATGCCAGGCTAGTTGGTAAATTATTGTAAGCTGGAAAGAATGACCATAGCTTTGATTACAGCTGACATATATTTGAATTGGAGGATTTTAAAACTGTCTAACCACAGTTTAATTACTGCAAGTCTTTTTTTTATATTGCATTCATAAAACCATGAATAGATGGTTAAATTGTGTATATGTGCGATGTTGATTATTTTCTTATGAATTCAGTCAAAAAATGTGGCTGGAGTTATTTCAGGAAACTGTTGGTAAAAGGGTTATTTGCTTAGGAGGGGACTCAAACCCCCCAGACATGACTCCTAGGACTTAAGGTTAAGATCCTTACTGAAAAACTCTGTCCAGAACAGAACTGAAAGAGGAAATGGATCACATTACATTTTATGGAGTTTCAAATGTACAAATCTAAAGTGAGGAATCCCAGTACAATGTTTTCCACTAAAGCAGAACTGGCTTTACAGAACAATGCTCGGTGAAGAAAGAAGCTTTACCTCGTTTCTGCATATACACAAACAGTTCATCAAGGAACTCCTTCCGATTTGGGTCACTGTCCAGTTCGTACAGCTGGGGATGGAAATTAAATGTGTTAATAACGTCATAACTAAGTTTATAACTAACTTAGAATCATGTTTGGATGGTTATTAACTATGTGTATTCACAATTCAGACATACGACCCCGTCCACTATCCAGTGTTATTTCCACACAGGCCATTGAGAAAATCTAGACTCATCTCAACTGGTTCAGATTTTGTCAGTTGCATTCAGATTTTAGAACTTTTGAGTCTAGGGCTGCATTCCGATTCTCTACCCTTCACCACGAAGTGTGCACTTGTTCACTCCCCCCCTCATGCATGTACAGGCATCGGATTGGTGCAAGCATAGTTGGAGGGAGTACATTCCACCATATTCCTTACACCAGTCCATTCCTTTTAAATCCATGAGGGGAGTGTACGAGTGCACACTTTGGGAGAAGGGTAGAGAATTGGAACGTATCCTAGATTTTCTCAGATGGTCCTGTGTGGATTAGTTTTACTTGAGCTTTGAGTTTAGTTTAATGCATCATCAGTTTATATCGGTCTGAACATCTTATCCAATCTGATCACCTTGGCAAAGTCTCTGGACGGCTCTCCTCTTGTTTTACCTCCTTCATTCTCCTCCGCCCAGCCCCCACTGCCTTTCTGTAAACACACATTAAAACATGATTACACACGCATAGTGCCTTCAGAAAATATTCATACCCCTTGAATTATTCCATGTTGTAATACAGCCTGAATTCAAAATGGATTAAATAATAATAATAATAATAATCTCACCCATCTACACACAATCCCCCATAATGACAAAGTGAAAACATGGTTTTAGAAATGTTTACTAATTTATTGAAAATGAAACAAAATCTTAATTTACTTAAGTATTCACACCCCTGAGTCAATACATGTTAGAATCACCTTTGGCAGCGATTACAACTGTGAGTGTTTCTGGGTAAGTGTCTTAAGAGCTTTTCACACCTGGATTGTACAATATCTTTAGGGCTGTCTGACGAAAACAAATTCTCGGTCGTCCGAAAGGAGTCGTCCGACCAACGTGTTTTTTCCTAATAACCACCTATGTGTTTAATAAATCACTATAGCATGAGCTTTCTGACTGAGCGCCGTTTGATGAATAATAAAGACAAATGACTTCAGGAGGAGCCAGAGAACAAGATAACCAGAAGGAAAAAAACATGAACCTGACCATTCTCCTCCCGCTCCTACTGGCTCTCTCAGATTCTGCCGTTACTCTCCTGAAGTTGCTGGTGATCGGCTACACGAGGAGTTGGCAACCTTTCTCATGTGGAATGCCAATTTATCTTACCATTTCTACCGATCTGCGTGCCAGTTATGATTTTTCATATGCACATTTTCGTGGAACAGATTAATTTCATTTATAATAAGGTCTTCGTATCTCAAAATCATTGACGTGTGGTAATCAATTATTCAATCAAAATTACAAAATAAAAGTATTTCACTAATCAAATCTAAAAATAGCTACAAAGCAACAATAAAAAATTGCAGCTGCCGGTGAAGATAACTGATATAACATGTCTACACATGCCACACATAAAGCAGGTAGAAGATATCCTGATATAAATCACATTGGCTACACATGGCCTGTCTGCAACGAACTAGAAACATTATATCAACTATCAACTGGGTCCAGCCTGAAGCTTGATCTAGCGAACTTGCAACATTGTATCAAATATTCTGGGCCCTCGGTTTCCATGCCAATGAGCTCGGGACAGACACAGCTGTAGTCTATTTGCACAAGGGATAAGTAGTAATCAGGTAGGCCCTATTTTTTTAATGTTTCCACTGGATCAGAGCATGACATTTTTCCCTTTCACGCTGAATGGTAATCGAAAAGGGAGAGAGAGCGGGATTTGTTTTTATTTATTTTTTTATACATTGAGGAACTATTGTCATTCTTAAAGGATGTAAAAACACACTTTGTTTACTTGCTGTTTTTCCATATATGTTTGAATAAAATTAATTATATGTAGGCTACTGAGCTTGTCTGATGCTTTAAGCACTGCAATAAAAAAAATGAAGGACACAAATTACTAAAGGGGGAGCCAGATATCAATATAGCCTAACCAGAAGAAACCAACCTGTTCCTGACCCCCCTCCTCCTGCTGGCCTTCGCAGATTCTGCCTTTAAACTCCTGAGGCTACACCAGTGGTCGGCAACCTTAGATTAGGTCCTTCGCAATATATTAGTCCACTGAGACAGGCCTCTGCAATGTATTAATCCACTGAGACAGGCCTCCTCAATGGATTAGTCCACTCAGACAGGCCTCCTCAATGGATTAGTCCACTCAGACAGGCGTGAATCAGACCTGTGTCATCATTTTGTTATATATAATTTGCCACTGTTCTCCTAAAAAAATCTTGGCCGACCAAACAATCGACTAAAATGGGGTTAGCCCTAAAATAAACTCACAAGTGTAACATAGGTTGTGCACTCCGCAAACAACGTGTCGACTCAGACAATGAGAATGGTAAAAGACCTGCATTATAATATATTGAATGCATTAACAGAAAATTAAGATTAGAAATTAAAATTGTAAATTACCAACAACCTATCTACCTAACAATCGATTAATTTGGGGTCAGCCCTACATTATTTGCACATTTTTCTTTTAAAAATTCTTCAAGCTCTGTCAAGTTGCTAAATAGACATTTTCAAGTCTTGCCATAGAATTTGAAGCCAATTTACGTCAAAAAACGAACTAGGCCACTCAGGAACATTCAATGTCGTCTTGGTAAGCAACTCCAGCGTATATTTGGCCTTGTGTTTTAGGTTATTGTCCTGCTGAAAGGGGAATTTGTCTCCCAGTGTCTGTTGGAAAGCAGACAAGCAGGTTTTCCCTCTAGGATTTTGCCTGTTCTTAGCTCCATTCAGTTTCTTTTGTATTCTGAAAAACTTCCCAGTCCTTAACGTTTACAAGCATACCCATAACATGATGCAGCCACCACCATGCTTGAAAATATGAAGAGTGGTACTCATGTGATGTGTTGTTGGATTTGCCCAGAACAACACTTTGTATTTAGGACTTAAAGTTAATTTCTTTGCAATAAGTAAAACTGCCAAAAATGTGGCAAACAGGATGCATGGTTTGGAATATTTTTATTCTGTACAGGCTTCTTTCTTTTCACTCTGTCATTTAGGTTAGTATTGTGGAGTAACTGCAATGTTGTTAATCCATCCTCAGTTTTCTCCTATCACAGCCATTAAACACAGTAACTGTTTTAAAGTCCTGAGCGATTTCCTTCCTCTCCGGCAACTGAGTTAGGAAGGACGCCTGTATCTTTGTAGTGACTGGGTGTATTGATACACCATCCAAAGTGTAATGAATAACTCCACCATGCTCAAAGGGATATTCAATGTCTGCTTATTTTTTTTTTTTTTACCCATCTACCAATAGTTGCCCTTCTTTGCGAGGCATTGGAAAACCTCCTTGGTCTTAGTTGTTGAATCTGTGTTTGAAATTCACTGTTCGACTGAGGGACCTTACAGATTATTGTATGTGTGGGGTACAGAGATGAGGTAGTCATTCAAAAATCATGTTCAACACTACTATTGCACACAGAGTGAGTCCATGCAACTTCAGAAAGTATTCAGACCCCTTGACTTTATCCACATTTTGTTACATTACAGCCTTATTCTAAAATTAATGAAATAGTTTTCTTTCCTCAATCTACACACAATACCCCATAATGACAAAGCAAAAACAGGTTTTTAGAAACGTTTGCTAATTTTATTAAAAATGAAAAATTTAAATATATTTACATAAGTATTCAGACCCTTTACTCAGTACTTTATTGAAGCACCTTTGGCAGCGATTACAGCGTCGAGTCTTCTTGGGTATGACGCTACAAGCTTGGCACACCTGTATTTGAGGAGTTTCTCCCATTTTTCTCTGCAGATCCTCTCAAGCTCTGTCAGGTTGGATGGGGAGCGTCACTGCAGAGCTATTTTCAGGTCTCTCCAGAGATGTTCCATCGGGTTCAAGTCTGCGCTCTGGCTGGGCAACTCAAGGACATTGAGACTTGTCCCGAAGCCACTCCTGCTTTGTCTTGGCTGTGTGCTTAGGGTCGTTGTCCTGTTGGAAGGTGAACCTTCACCCCAGTCTAAGGTCTTGAGTGCTCTGGAGCAGGTTTTCATCAAGGATCTCTCTGTACTTTGCTCTGTTCATCTTTCCCTCGATCCTGACTAGTCTCCCAGTCCCTGCCGCTGAAAAACATCTCTACAGCATGATGTTGCCGCCACCATGCTTCACCGTAGGGATGGTGCCAGGTTTCCTCCAGACATGACGCTTGGCATTCAGGCCAAAGTGTTCAATCTTGGTTTCATCAGACCAGAGAATCTTGTTTCTCATGGTCAGAGTCATTAGGTGCCTTTTGGCAAACTCAAAGCGGGCTGTCATGTGCCTTTTACTGAGGAGTGGCTTCAGTCTGGCCACTTTACCATAAAGGCCTGATTGGTGGAGTGCTGCAGAGATGGTTGGCCTTCTGGAAGGTTCTCCCATCTCTACAGAGGAACTCTATAGCTCTGTCAGAGTGACCATGGGTTTCTTGGTCACCTCCCTGACCAAGGCCCTTCTCCCCCAATTGCTCAGTTTGGCCGGACGGCCAGCTCTAGGAAGAGTCTTGGTGGCTCCAAACTTCTTCCATTTAAGAACGATGGAGGCCACTGTGTTCTTTTTGGTACCCTTCCCCAGATCTGTGCCGGCACAATCCTGTCTCGGAGCTCTACAGACAATTCCTTCGACCTCATGGCTTGGTTTTTTGCTCTGACATGCACGGTCAACTGTGGGACCTTATATACAGTGGGGAGAACAAGTATTTGATACACTGCCGATTTTGCAGGTTTTCCTACTTACAAAGCATGTAGAGGTCTGTAATTTTTATCATAGGTACACTTCAACTGTGAGAGACGGAATCTAAAAAAAAAATCCAGAAAGTCACAATTGTATGATTTTTAAGTAATGAATTTGCATTTTATTGCATGACATAAGTATTTGA